AACTACAGTTGTGTTTCCATCCTTCAGCGGGAAGGCATTGCCATGCCCGTGATGCGCTCTCTCTAAGGGTGAAGAAAATAAGGCTGGAAGAGAAGTAACTTCAGTGTGGTTCCAGAGTTACTTTGAGGAGTTTAATTAACAAACATTTACATCTAGAACAGGAAGGAGGAGGGCATATAGACACATTCTAGAATGAATGAGGTTACTTTTTGTGTTCATCTCACTTAACCTTCACCGTACACACTTATGCAGGGACAAAATAGACCCAAAGACACACAGGACAGCTTAAGGGTGCATGGCAATGAGCAGGGCTCAGGAGGACAGGCCTTGAAATGGGCAGTACTTGAGACCTCGGGTACATTTCTCCAACTGCTACCAACATTTCTGAGCTTAGAAGTGATGAACACGGTTCTCGAGTCAGAGCATGGGCATTTCCAGGTGTGTGACCTGGGGCACATCTTTACACTCTCTGTGCCTTGGTTTTCCCAAATGGGAAATGGGAATACAATTGCACTCACCTCACAGAGTAAGTGTGAGGATCTTATTCGTGCATGTGCTGTGCTTGGAAAGGTATGTGTGACATTGCAGAGGCTCCGTAAACGGGTATTTTGGTAGAGCCAAAATGAAGGTTGAAATGAAGGTTTCTGAGCCTCCAAAACCTCTGCCTTCCCTCCAACCCCCAGAACAGGCAGCTCCTATCAGAGAAGCTTCCTGAAGGAAGAGCGATATAGGGCTGGATCAGGCACATGATCAGGGGAAGTAATTGGTTAGAAAGATTCGGTGAAATATAAAATCTCTTTGGACTTGTGAGGCCAGACAGGAAATGCAAGGCGCATGTGATTATGGGAAGAAGGGTGGGAGGGTGGGGCCATGTTTTCAGAGCCAGAGTCCAAGAGTCTGTGTTAAGAAGTCGGTGGTGACCAACCATGAGAGACGATGGACTCTGACAAACAAACAGGGTTCTAGAGGGGATGGGTTGGCCTGGTGATGGGTATTAAAGAGGGCACATTCTGCGTGGAGCACTGGGTGTTATGCACAAACAATGAATCATGGAACACTGCATCAAAAACTAATGATGTAATGTATGGTGGTTAACATAACAATAAAAAATTAAAAAAAAAAAGAAGTCGGTGGTGATAGGGAGAGGGGTAGGTGTCAAAGAAGGGATTGTGAGATAGGGAGCATTTGGGAGAGCTTCTCGGAGCCCAAGTGGTGGAAGGTGACATGGCATCCACCCAAGTGCCCTCCCAGGAGGCTGGCCCTGATTCTCACCTGCTTCTGGGGCTGGAGGTCTCTTCCTTGCCTGTGCCCCTTGTGGCCTGAAACAGTCAAGACTGGCTCGGGGGACCCTGCTCCATGGGGATGGACTCTCTGAAGAGGAGAAAAGGCTCCTAGATCCAGCCTCAGTCTCCCATGTATGTCTGAGCCTAGCAAGACAGAAACAGATGCAGGCGACGCGCGGCTTCTGTTAGGTGACCACGCTAGTGATGCAGACTGGGGATGTGAAAGGTGGGATCTACAATAAGGGATTTGAAAACAGCTAATATTTTGAAATTGAATTGGAGTTGGCTTAGTGAAAAGATGACTTAAATAAGGACTTGGAATGTCTGGTTTTGAGAACCATAGACTACCAGATCCTTCCCATCGTCCTGATCCCCCGTTTGATACTTAAATTCGCTCTACAACCAGAGAGTGGCTAACTGTGCTAACACCTGCTTTGAAAAGGTTGAGAGACAGGAAGCTGCCCTGTGTGCGGCCACAGACTGGCTATGTGCTGCCATGGAGGGCAGAAAGTGGGGTCTTCTGAGAGAATCACTCATGACATGGGAACTGTGAATACAAAGATCTAATGAGGTGTATCATTTCAGGAGCAGCTGTATCTGAAAAGACTTCACCTAGAGAGGGCCGTATGTAGGCTCTCCAATGGGGGAGTTAAAGACACTTGCTGACATTAGAATTTTAGATCCAGAGGATGGGTGCCTCTGGAATTATGCCATGTTTGCCTTGACCTACATCTACAGTTGGCTTCAGAAAAGCTCATAGGTAGAAAGAGAAAACATCATCAGTAACAGTTACTAGACACCAAAGATGATAAAAAATACTTGTTGAATTTAATTTCTCTGGGTGGGCAAGAATAATGGGTTTTTCCACAGGTTTAGGGGAAGGGACGCAAGACAAAATTTACCATGCTAAGTTCCTTTAGATATATTGAGCTTGAGATGCCAATGGGGTGACAAGAAGGATGTGTTCAGGTGCAACTGAAAAATATAACTTAAATTCAGGCTACAAAAAAGTTCAAGTACGTTCACAAAGCATTCACTGAGCTCGCAGGTCTGTGCTTGTTGCTCTGGGCATCTGTGGGGATATACAATAGTTAACGAAGTACTACACTTACTCTCAAGGATCTTGCCAGTATCTGGGCAGACAGACTCCTTACGAAGGTAGTGCAGTATGCTAAGTGGGCACTGTAAACGTGGAAGAAGGAATCGGTCACTTTTTCCAAGGGAGTGAGGAAAGGCTTCACTGAAGAGCTGGCATTTGACCTAATTTTGAAGGATGAGAAGCAGTTGCTGGACAGGGAAAAGAGAAAGAGGGGCAAACCAGAAGCAAAAGGTTGAGAGGGGCTCAGATACCAGAAATGCAATGAAGCATTAACGTCATTAGTCTCCTATAATTAGAGAGGTGAAGTCCCTGTAGATACAAGAGGTTCAGGAAGAGTGCCTTACACACTAATAGCTTTGAATCAACTGAGCATTTTAAAATATCAAACTTAGGAGTTTATTTGCACTGCAGGGCACTTGGGTTTAAAGGCAACGTTGGTGTTTGGGTGGGTGGTATGAGCTGAGGGGAAAGTGTGGGGGCTCTACTAGTTATTCAATTAATTAGTTTGATTAAAAAATTGGTTTCATTGAATACTTTGAAGTGAAAGCATTGTACCAAGTATTAGGATTACAAAATAAGTAAGACACAGCAGATTGTCAGCATGGAAACTAGAATTTGGGCAGGCTCTCCAGAGGCACTGAGACATATACGGGATATGGTGTAGCTGTCACTGGCTACCATTTTTATGCATTTATAGTCAGACTGTCTGTGACGGTTTGTGTTGGTGGTTTCTCTCTCTCTCTCTTTTTGCATTTGCTTTACACTGTGCTTGAAAACGGATAGAATGTGCAACACATTTTTTTGGTATGAAATTCACCAAGCCAGCTATGCATTCCCCACCTCTACTGATAACAATCGATTTTCTGAACATGCAGGATGTATGCTTCTTGCCACTTGATCAGGTTCTTTCTGAGTCGTGAACCACCCTGCTTGTCTTTTTACCAGCAACACCCGCAAGGCAAATTCACTCCTTTGTCTCTGAGCTGGAGGTCAGAATAGTTAAATATCAGTGATGTTTTAAAAACTACATCTGAGGTCCCAAATCACTGGGCGAAACTCCCAGTTGCGACACCACAGAGGGGAACATGCAATTCCCTAGGTCCAGCTGCTTCCTGTTCTGCACCCACACATGGGATTTTTGTCTGAAATGTTTATTTTCTTCTTTTAGCTAACTGCTACTGTTCCTGAAAATTTAGTTCGGGAGCTTCTTCCTCTGAGAAGCCTCTCAGTCACCCTGGGCTGAGGAACGAGTCTCTTCCTCAGCACTCCGTAGCTCTGCACTTCGCAGACGATACCCGGATGACTGACTGGTGTGCCGCTTTCCCTTGGAGGCTATCAGCTGTCTGGGGGAAGGGACTGCACCTTGCTGAAGTCGGATTCCTTCTGCCTGACATGGGTATTTGAGAAGTATTTGTATTTGTGAACAGAACCGTACGATTTGCCACTGCATTCATCTCATACACAAAACTCACCTTTTGAATCTGACTGAAGGAAACACTATGACCTGGGGAAGGGGGTAGAATGTTTGGGGAAGGGCACATAGTGTAGACAGCATGGAGGGTGTGAGTTCAAATCCTGTTTCTGTGACATGGTGTCTATAAGAAAAAGAAGAGTGTCATTGCACTACTGGGTATTTACCCCAAAGATACAAATGTAGGGATCCGAAGGGGTACGTGCACCCCAATGTTTATAGCAGCAATGTCCACAATAGC